TGCTGGCAGATTTGTACGATCCAGTACCAGTATGGTGCAAGCCATGCAGCATTGGTAACTCTGGTTAACTGAGTCTGATTCTGTGCACATGAAGCATGTGATGGAGATGCCTGGAACCCAGTCTCGTGTGTGACAGTCCTCTGCTGTGAAAAACTTGCAATTCAGAATGCCCCTATGGCTATGTGTTAGCACTGAGTTGGCAGTGCCACTCACCCTGGAGGAGCACAGCAAATTAGTGATCATCTTACTGCAATGGAGCAAGGTTTTCTTGAGGTTCCAGTGGGCAGCTGATCCTTGGAACAACCACAGTCCAGAATACCTTTGTCAGTCAAGGTGAACCTGATGTTGCCATCCCACAGAAAGAGTACTTACCTTCTCTCCCTCGCAGCCTGCAGTCTTGGAGGCATCTCCAAGGATATGTTGGGGCAAACAATGGAGGTTTCCGGCTTGTAGAAAGTAAAATGCTGTCCCAGCGCCTTTTAAATATGGCGACTGGAAGTTGAAGACCAGGAAATTGTGGTAGAATTTGGAAACTCACGCCTATGAGAATTGATGTTCTGTTCATAAATACCATGAACTGAGGAGAATGACATTGCACAGAAGAACTTGAGATGGCCCTGAGCAGAATTACCTTCTCCTTTCAGGCCTAACACCACACGGGGTCTCAGAAAAACAAGGTTCCATCCAAAGAGAGGAAGAGGACTGAGTTAGTAGAGGGTGAGAAAAGAAAAGCTAGAAAGATAATTAAGACTTTTTTTGTAAAGGTTAATATACTAGCTCTTGTAAATCTCCAAAGACAATTTCCTACAAGCTGGAATGAACTTAGATTGTTCAGTTTCTGTGCCCAAGTGGTTGATTTGTATTAGAGTAGCAATTATCATGTTTTAAAAAATGCAATTTTCTGTGGAGAGTTTAATGGGCAATTGACATGCAAATCCAGCACAAACTCAACAAAAACAGAGAGGATAAAGTTGAGACACTGTGAGCTGAATCTTGCTTTGTTTGGCCTGTGTCAGTGTCATGGAGGGTTTCTCCCTTTGAGGCATAGCTATTTTTCTCGTGATTCTCCCAAGTTTCTTGCCATCATCCACATTGTTCAGGCCCCTTTAAGATTCAGCCCCATCAGTACAAAGTAAATGACAGAGCAACATGAACTAATGTGCAAGTTCTGAAGATTTGTAACGTGTTTGTCACTCACCTGAACCTGCTACCCACTTTTGCACATTAATAACAGTGTTGGTAACAGATCATAATTTTTATACCAACCTCTGGCCTAACTTTTTGTAACATTTTAAGGACAGAATCTACATTTTAAACTGAAATAATGCAGACTATATATACTCAACAGTATGCAATTACTCAACAAATTATGCAAAACAAAATTGGTTTCTACTTACAAGAACCTCGTAATTTCTGTCAGCCATTCATAAGAAATTAGTTAAACCTTTTTGGAAAAGTTATTGGCTAATGGATTATCTCCGACTGTCAATGTTTTCTGTGTCAGTGGAACATTTTGGGACTTTAACTGATCAGTGATGACAAATGCCCAGAGATGAAAAATTATGCCATGACTGGAGACATTCAAGAAACACAGGGAAGATGATACCTACTATTAGATGAAGATTTACTGAATACTAATCCTGAGAACCACATAAGTATCTTCAACTGTAGAGGAATCTATCTGCTCCAGAAACCTCCTGTGTTGGCTCAGCACATGTTCACCTCCTGCTTAGTTATAGTTTGTCAAGTGGGTGGTCATTGTCATATAGAAGTAAAAACAGAAAAATAGCAAATGTGTAGCAGGCCAGTTAGCATTTCAAAGAGAAAAGATTGGTTAACATTTCTGCTCCAAATTTTCACTAGACAGCTCATGTTTGCACTAGTTAAGGATCTGAATGTGTGGATTATATACATACGCTGCCCTATGAGAAAAAAGTGCTTATAATTGTTCTGCCCTGGATCAGTGCCATAGCCTGGTCATACTCACTCTTGGGATCTGCTGTGAGATAGAGAAGGTCACAAACTAGGAAGACAAAGAAACAGAGCATTTCTGCACATTTTTTGGGCTCCAACCTGAAGGATCTGAGGCCCAAAGTCTTGAAGAAGTGGTGGCAAGGAGAAAGTAGACAGTGCAATTATTAAAATGCACTTATGAAGTTTTCTTTGGGTTGCCAAAAGGACACTCACTTATTGGCTTGCAGCCCAGCCTGCTGATCAGAGTGTCTAGCCCAACTCAAACTTCAGAGTAGACAGGATGAGAATTTTCACACTTTGACCTTCTTTCTCTAGGCCCCAGTGTACATACAATGTACAGACTGTTTAATGATGGATGGGCTGGTGCATTCGGTGTACAAGCCTGGGCACCCAATCAGAAATTGCAGCGACTACTCCACAAATTGTTTTTGTGGGTGCAAGCTGAATCACCTAGCTCCCATAAACTGTAGGTATCCCCACACCCCAGCCCCAACCACCATCTAAGTGTGAACTGCTTCCACAAAATTCTCAGTTACCTCAATGCAGGATCTGCGCAATCGCCCTTAATGACAAGGCAACCCATTATTCCTATTTGTGCATTAAGTTCACTATGAACAAACTCAAAGCTAATATATTCATACAATACATCAATCCATACTTGCAGTGTAAAAGTAACAACGATTGTGAGAGATTCCCACTGCTCATTGTTGCATGTAGAATGATGGATCATGTGCAAAGAACATTCTTTACAGTTTTGCAAACAATTCTTCTCCTATCTTATAAAATGAATACATACCCTTAGCATAGGAACTTAGTCACCATGCTTTCTCTTTGCAAATCACTAATTTATGACATTGTAACCTTATTGTTGTAACATTGGGCTGGAGATCCTCATGACTTCAAATCTCATCATGGGAAACTGTGATGTTCCATTCAATTAATACAACTGGATTCATTGTGAAAATTCAAATTTTTTTGTTGATGTGCTTCAGAGAAAGCACCTGCTAACTGTGATCTTCATGCATCTTTAGGCCAACAATATGTGACCAACTCCTAAGGCAGAATTTAATGCCAAGGTGGGTTTGAAGACAGGAGGGAATTTACATGAATGAAAATGTGCACGGTAAATTGAGATGGGGTGGGAAGGCTTGTGAACAGCTTTCCTGCCCTGTCGCAAGTTGAAGCCATTAAACGGACAATTAAGGTCCTCGCCCTGAACCTTAGGTATTCAGCCAGTGGCAGGCAGGGGACCTGCCAGGCACGAGCTATTGCCATGCACAAAGCCAAAAAAGCAACATCCTGCCTAGTGTCAATGTGCAGTCTCCCAGTGTTAGAGATCCTTCCTTATTAGGCACTTAATGCCTAATCGAGGGTCTCTGCATTGGGAAGGGAAGGAGGGCATCACTGAATGCCAGCCCCTGCCTCTGATTGGCTGGCAACTACATCTAGGGCCCTGAATCCCAGGAAAGCCTACCATTTCCTAGGTAAGTGCCTATTTGGGACTTTATATGGGGAGTTTTCCCCAATTAGGGGAAAGCTTTCTGGCTGGCTCTGCAGCTAGCAGGCAAGAGTCCTATTGCCTGGATTAAATTCTGCTGCCAATGTCCAGGATGCAGCATGTCGATGTTTAAGGATACCACAGAATATGAGATGTCGGTTGGTGCTCGCTATTGTTAGAAAGCAGAGGTTGATTCCCCTCTGAGAATCAAAACCGAAACACCCGAAGTGGAGTGCCTCGTCCTATAATCTGTTAAAAAGAAGTGTGAGAAGTGGTGTAACCTGCCTTTCAGCAATTTCTAGTGGTTAAATAAAATAAATCCCTGACACTCACTTTACAATCAACAAGTAAAAATTTACTTATCTAACTCTAACAGTGAACAAATTAACTAAAATATTAACAAACCAAATAAACCCCTTCTAACTACCAACTATTCCCGAATAAAGCAAGATTCTAATGGTATGCTGTTCCAATAAATACAAGTCCCACTTATATGAAATAAAATAAAAATAATAGAATTTATTCTCTCAAAATTATAGCCATGTTATGTGCCTTCCAAAATGTTCCATGACTTTTTCCGTCGAACGTTCTGTCAGGAACGCCTCTCCATTGATTTTTCTCTCAGGAATATTAACATGTTATGACGTTAGTACCTTTGATTTAGATGGTGCTTTCTCTAAGATTTAGAGGATTCTGTAAGAGCCAACAGTTCTCTCTTGAGAACTGAGAGCTCTTAATTCTGGCAGATGGCAGCTAGTTCTCCTGTCTTTGCCCAACCAGCCCTTCTTTTATACCCTTGATGACATATCAATTTCTTATAATAGAATTGGTCCTATATTGTGAAAAGCATCAGATTTAGATTTAATTGGTTTTTGGTATCGAAGTGCCTGGTTCAAATTGATTGGCAAAGTTCAAAACTTATTGTCTTGGTAACAAAACAAAACTGCTGCTTGGCCTACTAACTGTACAGCCTTTTGTTACAAATGTTTCAATTTGAGTGCTGTCTGTGCACCTGTAAACCCACATATTGCTGCCCACAGACATCCTTTTTGAATCTCTAAGCGTAGAAAAAGCACATAATTTTTAAAGGGACCACACACTGCTTTCCCCCTTAACATTATACAAACACCAAATTCTAACTCCCTGCTTCCCAATCCACAAGCACTCTACTCAACTTCACAACACTATTGTACATCCAGTTAATTCTCAGTTTCAGCCAGATCAACAAGGTGAAGCTGGCTGCTTCACTGCAGAAAGGAGACACATTATCTGGCAAGATAAGATGATTCATACCCAACTTTCTTGCAAAGTGTTGTTAGTGGATTACTTTTCAGCTCTGTCTTGATTGAGAAATGGAGCCTGGCATGAGAGCGCTGCGAAGAAATGGGTATAACTCGTTTTAATTCAATTCAATGAGATTGCAGTATTCTTTTCTTCAAAGGTAAACAACGGAATGAACTGGGTTTGAATTTCAGAGGTGCAATTCGAGGAAAAAACAATTAATAACTTTTAAATTGTTTCATTGCAGGGTCCACCTGGTCCAAAAGGTGAAAAGGTTTGTGAAAACAATTATTTTTACAAACAAGACTAAATGTGTTTTTCTTTATATGTAAAAGCAAATGCACCTACCTGTATAAAATAAATATTTAATTTCTCATTGTTTCTATGCTGAAATCAATAAACCGTATTTGTCTCCTTCAGGGTGATCAGGGAGACCAGGGGCCACGGGTAAGTTTCCAACAGAAGCATGATGTTATTTGTAGCTATATTGCATGAAGGTTTGAGTATTGTTACAAACAGGACAATGATCTTCTTTTGTTAATACATTTCTCAACTCTAAGTGATTTTCATCTACCAAAGAATATTGTTGGTGTACTGGAGCAGCTTTCAGAGTAGTTAATGTCAGTGTATCAGAATAAGGATAAAGGTCCCATTTTGCTCCTAGCATCACATGAGTTAGTTCTTTCTGGGTGATGGACTGTGCAACCACAACACAAGCTCATTTCTCCCTCTCAATCAGTGACGTGTACTAATAATTAAAAACAAATGTTTCTGTTTATTATATTCCGTGTTCTTCAGCAGCCTGTGATGTATTGCTGTCTGTACCAGTTCTGCTGGCCACAGAATAAAAACAAAATAGAATGCAGTAGAGGTGATAATATCTTGGTGAGCACAGTACTCCTAAAATGTCAATGTTCAAATTGAGTTTAACCTCTTCCCCACACAGTTTGAAGTAGATGTGCTTACACTTTTGAATTCCTGGTATTTGAGCTCCCAGCATTAGTTGCCTGTAGTGTGTCAGATACTGTGTAGCTAATGGGCGGAAATCAGCAGCTCGCTGATTGCTACATCTATCCTCACTAAAGGGAAGATTTCCAGGTGTCTTAGGGAATCTCCTTACATTCTCGACAACTGCTGGCAAGAGAGCCCACACTGTTTGAGGTAAGTTTATTCAGGACCCCAGTGGCATACTGCAACCCCATACTGCAAGTTCAGAGACTCTGCTGCCATTAAAATGACAACTGGTGAGAATGGGGCAGTAAAGCTGAATACCCCCAGCCCATTGCCACCAGGGGCATTAAAATTCTCCCTCTTCATTCTTTGGAAAAGCTGGAAAAACAGTTTCTGTGGATGACTGCACACAGATATACAGAGCGTGCAAGCAAGTTAGACAAATGATGTCTATTAATTTCCACATGTGTCCGATTATACAAGTGTTAGAAGAAGGTTTTCTGTTCTTTTGAGATGTCAGCTCATTTAAATTAAGAACTTCTGTGTGTTATTAGATCTGTTAACCGCCATAGCCAAATGTTCAGCTTTTATGTGTCCTCCAGCACTTTGTAGTATTATTTTAAAAAAAGATAATTGATCTTTGGCCTTTTACAGTCATACCATGCGGATTGTAACAGCATGTTTTTGATTCATGTCCTCTTGTAGCTTACCAGGGCTCATGAGTTCCTCCAAAAGCTGTTTCTAATTAAAACAAACATTACCATGGTTTATTCCAATAATAGATGTCATATTGCCCCATCTCCATGTCTTCCCCTCCCCGAAATTAGCACTTGAAGCAATACTACATGTCCAAAAACATAAAATTAAACAAATATATTACTGCATCTCAATCTGTCAAAATGTCAAGAACTAAGAATATCATTAGTCCATCCATGTACAGAAGTCAAAATCACTACATATTAAGTTCACTCAATAAGCACTGATCAATTACCAACTGGCTATAGTTTAAACAATGCTAATCAAATTCAAATTGAGAAAATATGCCAGTAAAGGGAGTGTACAAATGAAGACCCCCAACTTCAGACTGACAGATTTTCAGTCTATCGAGCTGACAATTGTCAACTTGCTGCCATTGAAGAATTAAATTTGTGGTCACAGTACTGGATCGACAATATTCATCATCCCATGTTATCTACAGTACCTTATCCAGGAATACTTGAACCGTGATTTCAATTTTCAGTCTACAGACATAGATCCACATTATATTATGAACATTATTAAAAAGGAAATGTGAGGAATGCATTGAGTATCTAGAATTACCACTTTTTACAAATAGGTTTCCAATTTTTAAAATCGGATGGACCATGGTAAAATCCACGAAGTATTTTGTGATAAAGTCACTGTTCTAATACAGGCAGATTTACAAACAACAATGAAAAATCATGTAAAGGATAAATTGAAGTAATTTGGAACTTTGACAACTTATCTGGGGCAGAGTTAACTTTTCTGTTTTTCAGATAGTCTATGAGTTTTTTTTATATTCACCTGGGCAGGCAAATGGGACTTTAGTTTAAAATCTCATCCAAATGACAGCACAATTCCCTTGGTGTTGTGCTGAAACAACAGCTGAGATTATACATTCAAATCTTTGAACAGGGGGGCTTGACTCCAAGCTGAGATTACTACTTCTGAGCCCTTCCCTGATCAACGCACCTGGAAATGTGGGAGAAATTTCTTTTAGCTGCTGGCAAGAGAACCCTCACTGTTTGAAGTGAAGTTTATTTAGGACCCCATTGGCATAGTGCAACCCCAATTTTCATCAAGTTCAGAGATTTTGCTGCATTAAAATGATAACTGATGAAAATGGGGTAGTAAAGCTGAACACTCTACTCTAAGGACACCCCCAGCCCATTGCCAGCAGGTGGATTAAAATTCTCCCTCTACACTCTACACAAATGCTGGAAAAATAGTTTCAGTGGGTGACTGCACACAGACTCATAGAGCATGCAATGGAGTTCTGGGAAGCTTCCAGCCCCTTAATTCCTCCGCCCTACATGAACAAACAGCAGTTCAATGCCATATTTCCCATCCTGTCCTTCCCCAAATAGGTTTCCAGGATGCACCCATACAAGCACAAGTGCCTATTGAAAAGACACATATGAGTTGAACCACTGAAGGCCTAGAAAGACTGGCAGAGACATTAGCAGAATCCAGCAGCATTCACTTCACCATACTCAAACAAGCGGGTAGTACTAATGATTTTTGAGCCACAGAGTTTTGTAGTGGCAGAAAGTTATACAATGGTTTGAATAATGTACAACCTAATAACAAGGGGACTACTTTCCTCTTCATAAGCTAATTGCAGTCAAGGTATTTCCTTGAGGAAAGCTGCCTGCTGCTCAGGTACAAATCTCTGGAAAGTACAAAGCCGTCAACAGCTTCCAGTTCCTCAGGCAGCTGAGTGATAAAGTGATCAATTTTCCAGTGCAATACATCCTGTCTGTGCCTATTTCAGTGATACAAAACAGAGAGAAAAAGCACAGTGGCCCTTTGAACAGGGTTTTACACCCTATTTGTGCTTCATGCAACTTTTGGTTGCAGATTGGTTGAGGACCGGTCATGGCATTGTGCCTGAAATAGGAATTCCTCCTGCAAATCATGTTAATGCTCCAAGCTGATGTAATTGAGCCTGATGTCAGTTTCCTTCACTTCTGTTGGCTGTAGATCGTCTGCAAGCTGACCCCCTCCAAACTAGCATTTTAAATCTCCTTACACTGCACTTCAAAAACTGAGTAATTTAAAATGTTGTGTAACATTTGGCACAGAGAGTAAAGATTTAATTTTTGTCCTCTCCTCATAAAGTTTGCTGCTGTTTGGCTGCATGACAGGTCTCACCATGACTATCATTTCCTTGGAAATTAAGATCCTATTGTTATGTCTTGTGGTTCCCAGAAGTTTGAAAGAACTACGCATTTAAACTCAAACGCTGGACCTTATTCAAAGATATTTCTCAGATCACACTATATGCTGTGGTCTAATCATTCCATACACAGACTATGGCTCAGTAATGCATGTTGGGGATATTTACGTATGCACGCAACTGAACATAAAGTTCCAAAGTTATATTGGAATAGTGTTGTTGTAAAAAGGAGTGCGTAGAACAGAAACTGCAAGCTGTACACAGTTAGCAGAGGAAGCAATGAAAAATGTGATTGTGAACCTCGGGCCATATTTCAAAAGCAGTCATCAGAAATGATAGAAGAAATTTAAAGAAGAGTGACAATAAGCCAGTGAACTGTGTTTGCAGCTAAAGAGAAACAATGGCTGAACTTTTCCATTTTCAGTTCAGCGCGGGGAAGAAACCCCAGAGCAGCACGCCGGCAGAGAGTCCTGGACGGAGACCAGTTTGAGGGCACAATCCTTACCTTAGAACTCACCTTAGAACACCGTAATGTTAACCCCTTAATATTTTCCTATGTTTAACTTATTTTCAACTCTGTAATTAAGCAACTACTTCCATTCTTCTGCTGTGTCCAAGAATTGTACCTAGGTACTTGTACCTAAGATTTCGCCATTAGAAGGCAGACATTGTAAAAGTTTTTCACTGTACTCCTACAATGGAGTACACTTGACAATAAAAGGATACTGTACATTGTATATTTTAAGAACAGCAGAGAGGTTTGTCAGAAGCAGTTGGTCAGCTGGATCAAAGGATGGAGGAATTCACCAATGTTATCAGTGTCCTGCTAGCTCTGGTATGCGTCAGTGATTGGTGACCCCCACGGACAATCAGGTCCAGCATACTCAGTGTCTGCCAGGCAGGTGCACTCACTTGAACTCCACCACTGTAGCTCAGCATTAATGGCAAGGCAAGAGGAGGATAAGGGACGTCAAATTCACTGCAGGCACCATTCCTCAGACACCCATAGGGAGGAGGTACCACACAATGGGAGCACCCCCTGCTTTTCCCCACTGGAAGCTTCCTCTCAGTTCAGTCCAGAGGTACTCAGTCCTTGTTCTTTTCCCCTGCCTGTGATGCTGAAGCCTGTAGAAGATGAGGAGGGTGAGGCTGCATTGGGGCAGGAAGCTCTCAGTAGACCCAGGCCCTCTCAGCCTAAACAATCAATGGCACAACTGCCCAAGTTCTCCATGACAACAGGATGAACTGCAGAGCAGACTTCCTCCCCCTGCCAGCGTCAGCTTACAGTTAGACACAGTGGAAGAAAGCAAAAGATAAAGCCAAACTAAAAAACTTAGGTACATATATCTTCATTTGTACTCTTAAAATGTCTGCTCTGGTGTAATTTTCACGACCAGACCTTAAGTAGCACTTATGAGAGAGAATTCATCTCAAGGATGTAATGACCAAGCATTGCTTATCTCTCACCGACAACTGACTCCTTGACTACAGATAGCCTCAGACACCATGGATTCCTGAACTGTGACGTTGATGGTTTGCAGCCAAGGTGTTGCAGTTTGATGTGGAAAACAGTGAG